GACAGTCCTGTATCTTAACCACTGGACCAGCTGTCCTCCTGGTGTGACAGTCCTGTATCTTACCCACTGGACCAGCTGTCCTCCAGGGGTAACAGTCTCTGTATATTCTGGGGCAGTGCGGTGGCTCTGTGGTTAAGTTCCCGCGGCCAGCAGAGGAATCCTACTCCTTTGGGCCCCTGAGCAAGGCCCTTAACCCCAGCTGCTCCAGTGGGTGCCGTATAAATGGCTTCTATCCCTGTCTGTGTGTCTCATGGAGAGCAAGATGGGGTATGTGACAAATTCCTAATACAAGAAATTGTATATGGCTAATAAATCTATCATCTGTAACAGTAGGGAAGGGGTGTTACTCACCAGGCGTTCTGACATTGGGGTCTTGTCCCCGTCAGGCAGGTGCTGCTCCAGAGCCAGGACGATGCAGTTGGCAATGATGGTAGCTAAGATCATGTATTCAAAAGGAGTGAGGGAGGCAAGGTTAAGGAAAACAACAGAGCGAACGCACTGTCCATCACAGAGGGGGCGCTAAAGCGTTCCTAGCCTGAACGCCTGTTTCAGAACCTTCTCCAAATCTCAAGCACAGCTGAGAACAGATGCCCCTCCCCCCTGCTCTCAGACTGAAATACACGTCCAGTCATGTTCTATACCACGGTGAGCACGCTGGCCTGGACAGGGGCTGGATCTTGCAGGAACTAGGCACTCGACCTCCCTGGGTAAGGAAGTGAGCACCCTAGACCGTGGGTTAGGAGCTGCTCTCCCAGCCCGAAGAGAAGTTAATCGGAGCTAAGCGACTAACGAGCATCCCATTAAGAGATGGCGATATCTGTCCAAGTCACTCAGTCAGCCCAGGCCCTACAGCTCACATTGCTGCTTCATGAACACACTCACTCAGTGTGTCTCCCTGTGGCCTGGTGTGTGTAACTGTCTCACCAGGTCTTTCCCTTCTGTACTGCACTTTAACCATGATCACCTGGGCCTCCCTGCACTTTTACAACATTGACACTGGGCTTCACTGCACTGCACTGTGCTTTTACCCTGATCTCACTAGGCTTTGCTGCACTGGAGTGTGCTACTCTGTTAAAGCAGTCCACAGTCCTAGGTAAGGAATTTAAGGGAATTAAGAACACTGTGGCGATCAGCCTGCTGACTCAAGTACTGGTAACTAGAGTTTGGAACAGAGCGGAAGTGTCCGGGAATGGAATTTTTCCCTTGGGATAGGACCCGGGTCTTAGTCCTCTTGGCAGCTGTAACTGGGACTGGCTGGGGGCACTGCCAGCCCCGGAGCGTGGTCTGAGTAATGGCCCTGTGTGTTCTGTAAGAGGAAATAAAACTTCCACTGTGTCCAATTAGTATCAATATAATCAGCAAGAGTGATGGCCCAGCCCTCCCCCCCAGCCGCTCAGCCGAGCCTCTCTGTTTAATTAAAGTGGCTCGGAGACGCGGTGGGCAGCCAGCAGCCAGCCTGCGGATCTCGGGGCGGTACGGGCAGGGCTGGCTCTCGCAGGACGGCTTGGCACGCAGAGACGCCCCGTTCATTCTTAAAAAGCTCCGAGCGCTGACTCAGCCAGGCAGGGGCCAGCGGCGCTCCGACACAGAGCCTGAGTCAGTGGACGGGCTCGGGGGGGGGGGCCCTGATTCCCGACGTTCCGACTCCGACATTTAATTAATTCCCACACCCAGGGGTCAGAAATCGATGGTGAGAGAGGCAGCTATCCAATCATACTCATGGAGACTTTCCACTTGGACCCAGGACTCAGCTTGGAGTCAGACACCAACGGGGTTGCAAATCAGACTCCCACTGCACAGCGCTCTGATCCGCTCCAGGTTTTACACTGACCCAGACCAGAACCGGTGAACAGCCCGGAGGGGACAGAGGGTGTGGTGCTGGACCCAGATCAGAACCGGTGAACGGGCCGGAGGGGACAGAGGGGACAGAGGGGTGTGGTGCTGGACCCAGATCAGAACCGGTGAACGGGCCGGAGGGGACAGG